TCCTTAGGATTTCTATGGTGGTTCGGGCTGCCAATGGCCTCTAAGTGCCATTCTGTTAGCTGGCGATCACCCTTAAAAATGCCCTAGCCACATCGACTTTGTCCCACACATTCGCCCTACTCTAGTACCCTGGAAGGGAAGGTGGGATGAGAGTTATTCCACAGTCCTATGCCACTTGAAGATTCCCGTTTGCCAGGGGATCCTTGAGTGGCCCAGTCCAATTGCTTTCTAGCTGCTTTCTGTTCCTGCACAAAGTAGCTGTGGGGGTGGGTTGGGGAGGCCCAGAGTCTGACTCAGTATCCCCTCTGTGGGCTTTGTAGCTTGTCGACACATTCTGCCCTAGCTCATGCAAAGCCATCTGTTAGTGATGGCTAGTATGACTACTGTTTCAGGTTTCTGAAAACATCAACACAGAATAATAGTCCTAATCCAGCATCTTTGTGGTGGAGGAATAGTGATCCAGGTCCTTGGCTTACCAGTTCTTTTATTACCCTAGAAACAAAGGACCAAATTCTGTTGTCATTTACACTGGTATAAATCAAGATTAAATGCATTGGCCTGGAGCATAAGGACAAGAAGAAATGCAACCAAAGGGAACAAATGTTTAGCATCTGCTATATGTCCTGTTCCTATCCACAAGACCTGACACCTGATCTTGCAGTCTGGAAACACATTCCTGAAAGGGCCATCTGCTGGAGAGTCTTCATGTTCCGAGGTACACGGAAGCTTTGTTGCAGGGCAGAGATTAGGCAGGAGAGGGGGGAGTTCTCAAACACAAGACACCAGGTGGCTTTTCATAGTAGTTCATGAGCCAGGGTCTTTTCCTATTTGCAGTGATTTAAAGCTGGGCTAACCTTGGGGCTATAGTGCAAGGAGCTAAAAACAAACTAGCCCACTGGTATGTATCTATCTTTATTTTTATTTCAAGTTGGATGCTTTCTTTCTTTCCTTTCCTTTTGTGTGAATAGGTGTGTTAGATCCAATAATGCCTTAAGCACCATTGATTAGTTAGTACAGCTATTTGAAGCATTCTACAAAATGTGAGTCCTAGCAATTTTAGCTCTCAAACCTGCCAAGACATGTGCATGTGAGTAGTCCCATTGAATTTAACTTACTTGGATGCACAATTTTTTGTTGGCTTGAGCCTTATATAGGAGTGGAGAATGAGTGGCACTTTTATAACAGAGTGGAGTAAGTATCACATTTCTGTTTCATGTCCTTAGAGCTTTGTGATGGGGCCACCTGTTTAAGGATGGAGACTAGGCTGTGTTGCCAGTTCTCATGATATGTGAGGTTTTTCTTAAAACTCTAGCCCCTGGAGACAAGTGAATATATGAGAATCTCAGTTTTCATTAAAAAAATAGCAAGTTTCTAGCTCCCCCGGTTGTGGCGAAAAGCCTGAACATTTAATCCAAATGTACCCTAAAAGCTTAGCAAGCAGAGCCCCCCCCCCCCCAAATATAGTGTTTTTTTTAAAGCTCCTGATTTTTGAGGCCTGCGTCATGGTTTTTGAAAGGTGGGGTTGACAGTGCTTAACAGGGAATAACTTGTCCAAAAGCCTTGATCTTGCATATGCTTAACTATGTGACTAACGATACCCATGTATTTAAGTGTTTGCAGGATCAGGCTTTAGTTAGGAAATTTAATTGATTAGAAAAACTGTGTGTGTGTGTCAGGAGGGCTACGTATTTTTGCATTGCTGATTATGCCAACTTGCTGTAATTTTATTATATATATTTGCAGGCTTTTTGTGTGTTATATCATTATAATGTTAATGCTTTGTCAGGGCCTCAAACTCACTCCTTGAAGATGAGCTCCTCAAATCCTAGAACCTGTCCTAGGAAACGTAACTGTATAGAAGCAATGGGGCTTTGGAGAGATGGTTGTAGACAGGAGGTGGGCTGGTGAACCTTATATTCTTCATGTGTAAGAAGACATAGCTTGCCTTTTGATGTTTGTGTGTTTCTTATTTAAATATTTGAATATTATATGTAAATGTGTTCATAGAATCATAGAACTGGAAGGGACCTCGAGAGGTCATCTTGTCCAGTCCTCTGCACTCAACGAAGGACTAAGTATTATCTAGACCATCCCTGACAGGTGTTTGTCCAACCTGTCCACAAAAATCCACAATGATGGAGATTCCACAACCTCCCTCAGCAATTTATTCCAGTGCTTAACCACTCTGATAGTTAGGAAGTTTTTCCTAATGTTCAACCAAAACTTCCCTTGCTGCAATTTAAGCCCATTGCTTCTTGTCCTATCTTCAGAGGTTAAGAAGAACAATTTTTCTCCCTCCTCCTGGTACCAACCTTTTATGTACTTAAAAACTGTTATCATGTCCCCTCTCAGTCTTCTCTTCTCCAGACTAAACAAACCCAATTTTTTCAATCTTCCCGCACAGGTCATGTTTTCTAGAACTTTAATAATTTTTGTTGCTCTTCTCTGGACTTTCTTCCATTTGTCCATATCTTTTCTGAAATGTGGAGCCCAGAACTGGAGACAATACTCCAGTTGAGGCCTAATCAGCATGGAGTAGAGTGAAAGAATTACTTCTCGTGTCTTGCTTACAATACTCCTGCTAATACATTCCAGAATGATGTTTGCTTTTTTTGCAACAGTGTTATACTGTTGACTCATATTTAATTTGTGATCCACTATGACCCCCAAATCCCTTTCCGCAGAACTCCTTCCTAGGCAGTCATTTCCCATTTTGTATGTATCTGATAGGAAATGTGTACCAGCTTTTGGCACAGGCTTTGGTGTGTGATGTTAGTTCAATATTTTAACTGAACACAATTTGTCACTGGTAGATTATTCTAATCCAGAATTCAAAATAAATATAATGAATTTGTTTCTTTCTTTACACTTCATTTTTGTTTCAGAATACCTGAAATCATCTAAAATGCCAGAAATTTCATTTGACATTTAAAAAAAAAATCTTTGGGGAATTTGTTCTTAGTTGCTTCCACTCAGACTCCTCACTCACAGTTGGTTAGTTACAGCATCCAGGTTGTGTGTGGAATTACTCCAGATTTGCCATTTACATGTGTAACTGAGAGTAGATTTGTGCCCCATCAGTTTGGATTTTGACCTTCAAAAGTAAATGCTTTTCTTTCTTCCTCCCATCATTTCTATAGACTTTTTAACTATTGTTATTAACTGAACATCCTATTTTAAGCTGGTTCTCTCAACATCCTTCCTATGATCCATGTACTACTATTCCGGTGCAAGACAAATGCTTACTAAAAGGAAAAGCTTGGTGGGTGGAATCTGATACCTTGAAAGTGATGGATTCGTTGTCATTGGCTGGAGCCTTTGGCAATAGGCAGGTAGATAAATTCTGTAAATTTCTCCGCACAGCTTTGCTCATAGACTTCAGTTCTTCCCTTCCGCATTCATGCTATTCCAGTTCTGGATACAGGCTGCCAATCTTGCCAAATAATGTTGAGCTTTTGTGACATGGACCAACATCCATTAGGAGCTAAAATGAGAGGCCATCTTGATTTGAATGTGGCTCTAGAAGCTAGTGCACTGAACCATTTTGTTGCTCAGTCCCTCCAGACCATCCATCTATTCTTTACTGTAATCACTTATCAATATAGGGTGAAATTCAACACAATGCTGAGGTCCCATACCAGGTCCTTCAAACCATTTAAACCCTGCGGTAAATGTTCAGTGCAGATGAGCTTTTGCAGGCCTTTGTCACTGAGGTGAATTTCTTTCATGCTGAGCTGTGTGAGTCTTTTTCTTTAGTGAATTGACTGCATTTCAATATCAAACAAGATAATACTGGATTGTTCTTAATTATGCATCTGGGACTGGTATGATGTCCATCCAAGGTGTAACTTCTTATATAGTCATTAAGCTATTTTTAAAATTCCAGAGCCCCATCCTGGAAACTGTGCTTATCTTGAAGCCTATGAGTAGTTCTGTTGACTTCAAAGGGGCTATTTACCTTTTTTAAGTTAAGCACCTATGTAGGTGCTTTCAGGATTGGGGCCAAATTTTGATTCCTCTTCTGATAGCTATACAAAGAGATAAGCACACTCTACAGTGTATCTGTGAATTTTAACCACTGGTGCAAGGAGAGATTTGACATCCTTCAAATTCATCACCATGTGTGCAAACCTAGCATTCACTTAACTATCAGAACTATTAAAAATGAGAGGAGAGAGTGTCTTCTATGGTTAGTTTAGCTAAATTACTCCAGGATATAAATCTCTCATATATACTGGGATTGGAAGGAAATTTATCTCATAGGCATGGTTTTGTGAATTTGTCCATAGGGTTTTCACATCTTCCTCCAAAGTATCTGCTACTGACCACTAGTGGACACAGGGTGCCATGCTAGTTGGACGACTGGTATGAGCAGGTAGTTCGGTTAGTTCCTAGTTTGGTAGTGCCTTTTGTGATTCCAAGGTTAAAGCTGCTATGTAAATACAAAATAGTATTATTACCTGTCAGGTTGCACTGTTATTGGTAGGTTTGATATATAATGTTGCATAATACTTTGTGAGATATCCATTCCTATGACAAAAACGCAGTGCTCACTCCTTGTTTTAGAACACAAATACATAAATTTTAATCTGAGAAAAATACAAAATGAAACCATGTACAAGTTATGTACAAACCCTTTTTACAAGACAATATATTTATCGCTGGATATTACATATGACAAAGTCAGGTAGATCATTTCTGAGCACCAGCATTTTTTCTCTCTCACCGATCCTTGGTAAAAAGAAAAATGATGAAGTCATGCTCCTTTTTCTTTCTGAACTGTAAGCTTTAACACCATAGGTAGTTTAAAGGAATTGTTTTCAAGGAATGGTTATAATGACAAATGCTTTCATACATTATATATATGTACTGTATGTGTTGTCTGTGGGGTACGGGTAGGAGAGAGGCCAACTTTGAATTTCACAAGAATTTACAATTTTAATTCCACTATTTTTGAGGCAGATATTTTAGATGTTGCAGTTGCTGGACATATGTATCTCAAACAATATCGGGGGGAGGGGGCGATTTTTAAGTGCTGCTTAAAAAAAATGTAGGACAGGATTCTTTTCAGCTGGCATGTTGGTGAGATTCCCTAAACTCATCTTCTGGTTACCAGAAAACTTCCCATACCCACTTTTCAATCTCAAATAATAAATAAATTCAATAAAAATTGCAGAAATTTCTCCATTTATTCTTGTGCCCCTGAGTGCCTACATTCTTTTGTTCATGCAGGCCTCCTCTGAAGTTCATTGAATCAATGGGAGTCTTCTGTCAACTTCAACGGGTTCTGGATTAGACGTATGAATGGGGCAGTATTGTATGGATATTTATCATACTCTTGTAATGAGGAACAAAGTAATAAAAGAGGTTTATTCTAATTTTTTGCTAAGGCTGACTCTAAACATATTTTTTAGTAGTTCAAAAATAGGTTAGGTGGATAGGTCCTTATCCTTTTGGTATATAATCCACTAGAGTTTATTTGGATATATAGACTACTGCAGTTTATAGATTATTCAATAGCTAGTTTTTACTTGGTTTTATGTGCCATATCGCTAGATTTCTGTGCAAGATGTGTGAGTATGCATAATGCTGTTAATTAGAAAAAACTGCAAATGAATATGCCTGCTAAATATCAGAGAACCTGGAAAAGAAGCTTACATATGTTGAACAGAAAAAGACCTAAAAACTGGGATAGTAAACACACATTGAAGGAAAATAAGAGATGAAAAAAACTATCCCACTGTACAAAATAAAAGTAGGTGTAAATTTTACTTCTTGTGAAAGCAAAGATTGAGATTGGTCTCAAACCTCTGTGGCCAAAGGTTTTTAAAGCATATAACCATATGACATATCTGCAAAGGTACAAACTTGCTAATTTCTGGATTTTAGTATAATATCCTGTCTCATTTAGGATGAACTTCTCCCCCCTGGAGAAACACAAGGCACTTAACATCTCAAAACGTAGGCTGTACCATGGGCCTTGTGTTGACAACTCTGCACAGTGGAGAATTTCACTCATACTGAACACACCTGAATTATGCTAGTATTTTATTTATGTTATACCTTTGTGAACATTGTGTTCGTACCCATGACTTGCAGTGGGTCATATTTAAAGTAAAAACATTTTTTCTGTTGAAGATCTGAAAACACACAAAATAAATTATAACAGGCCCTATAAAAAACCTGGTTGAAGATGTCTTCAGTTTCGCCCAGATCCAGCAAAGGACTCGAAGCATGTGCTTAACTTTAAGCAAGTGCATAGTCTCATTTACTTGAATGTGGCTAATACAGTGGAACTATCTACTCATTTAAATGCTTTGCTGTATCAGGGCCTTAGTTATCAGGATTTTTATGTACCAGTTGGGCTCCTATCTTAGTACTTGATTTAAAAGCAGCATCAAAATTTTACAGACTGGTGCTGTGGAAGAGAGCTAGCAAACTGTGAACCATAAGAAACACACTCTTCCCTAGATTTTCCCATACAGCTCTCAGTGACATTGATAAGAGTTTCCTGCCCAAACCACTGAAAGCTATGTGAGCCATGCAAAGACACTCTAAAAGCCTTTGCACTCACCCTCCCTCCCTTCCCTTTATTTGTTTTGCTTTCAGAACATAATTTAAAAAAATAAAAACAAAGCAGGGACATTAACTTATATCAGGGTAGGGGAATGTGCAGTAATACTTGCTAGAACATTGAATACAAGTTTATTTCAAAACTCGTTGGCTTCTTGAAGCCGTTCTCAATGTGATTCCAGTTAAGGAGGTATGGCTTTGTACAGTAACTTTGAGACTGGGATATCTATAATGGGGCCATAGCTAACATAGCTATGGATTGTATAGTATGCAAACAGGCAGTGAAAACATGCATAATTACTATTTGTAAGTTATTGCTCTTGTTGTGCAGTAATTTATGCATCCGATTATTGCAAAATTCCTAAGGGCTATTTCACAAATAGAGTTTGCTTGTTTCATTTGTTTTTTCTCTATGTACTTCAGATGCTTAAAGGACCCAAGTTGTCATCTGGCAAATTTTTAGAAATGTAATATTTTATCAAAACTTCATTTAAAATATATTTTTCTGTACTTCCTTCCGCATCATTGCACATTACCAAGATGTGTGTGGAGAGGAAAAGGTGTCTCCCTTATAAAGCAGCATGCCTCATTTATCCAGTCATCTGTTTCCTTAAGGGTGAAAAATTCTTGTCACCTGGTGTCACATGCATAAAGCCTGAGTCATAGGGCTTTATTTGGCTGACTATACTGTCAGTTGGGATAAGGCAAAATTCACCCTCACCTTCAACGTGGGTTGGTGCAGTCCGCCTACCCACCTGCAGCTGCTTCTCCAGCCTCAGTGCTGGAATAGAGACATCAGCTCCTCCATGCAACTTGTGTGGCTTGGTAGGTTTGCTCTGGGTCCTCATTACTGCAGATCCTGTGGCCTTCTCCTTATGTCCCTGCTAATGTAGAGATGCAGCTGCTCCCCGGTGCAGGGCTTAAGTAGTTCTGAGAGCTTTTTTGCCAGCCCTCTGAACAACACCTTCAGTGATTCCGATCTATCTCTCTGCCCTTAGCCAGGTGCACTGGGCTCCCATTCAAGAAAGCATGAGTTGGGCGTGTCTATCTCAAATGAGAATTAGGCCCTGTGACATTCCAGTAGTCACTTTGCTTGAGAGGCCCTGATGACTGACACACACATGTACGCATGCACACATACACAGATTGTATTGCAGCTTCATGGCCTTTTGACCAATGAATTATCAGTTTAGTATTTGATACGTCCTATATCAGGGGGACTACATCTTGTCATGGCAGAGGGATAGATTTAATAGACCTGTCCCAACTCTAATTACTGCACTGAATAAATGACAGGACAGACCCAGGATGGGTATAGAGGACAGAGCTTTCAGATGCACACACATTGCCTCCATTTGACCATTGTTTTTAATTGCAAAAGATCTAAAAACTGGAACTTTCCTGTCCTCCATATAATTAACTATACATGGTTCTACTGAATACAGTATACTATATATGTATGATAGTTCACCTGTGCCCCAGGTGTTCTACGTCTGTCAAAAACTTACCAAATCCAGACCTTTGCCTCAAAAACTCTTTAGTAATCAAAGGAAAGAGTAGGAAATGTTTGTTGTTAATTATTTACAGCCCCCCAGATCTGTTTGTATACATGGATGCTATGGCCATTAGCTGTATTAATAGATCTGAGTCTTGTGTTGGCCAAGACTTCATTATAGTGGCAGTCACACTGGGTATTAGTTCAACAGCAGACACAGACATACAGGCTTTGGCAATGTTGGTGGGTTTTTTTTTATTCTCATGTATATGATAAAGTTTTTATTGAAAGGAAGGATGCTAAGAAATGGCACTGTGCACAATAATTTTAAGTACTCTTAAGTTGAATGTTACAGAAATAATTTCCTATGCCTGCCATAAAACAAGTGACCTATAAAAATCAAATGTATTTGGCTAAGATTGACACAAATTTCAACAATTTTATTGGGATTGAGGCCAACTCTTTACTCTGGTAATAAAATTATTGCAGTTCATGAATGAAAAAGGAGTACTGACTTTAAAGGAAAGGTTTAAAGTGACCCAATGCAAAACCAGAATGCAAATTATAGCCTGCCATTAGCTAAAGTGGTAACAAATCAAAACCACCAGATTCTTCCTTTATTTTGGGTATTGCAAAATGGGTTAAATATTAATAAAAACTGCTCAAGTTATTTTGTTTCTTCATAGGATAGTGATTATAAATATTTTTAAACAATCCAATTTTACATACATTATATTCACAATTCTTGTTAATTTTTTTTTAAAATTACTAATCTACAAAATGTAACAACAAAGTAGTCACAGTCCAAAAAGTCACTCCAGAATAAAGCCTGTTTAGGTGGCGTTATGGTTACATTTGTACTGCAGCCAGTGAACAAACATTGAAGCTGAGATAGTTTAGCTTAAATGTTGGATTATATAGTGGACGGTTTTTTCCACAGTAAATTCATCTGCTCTGTATGTGTCTGACTCACTGATATTTCTCTAATGATAATAGTGCCACAGTATGTTTTATCTTGGTTTTTTACAACTCTGCAAAAGTACAAAGCCTAAAATTAACTTGCGCAATGGGACCCTACCTTTCTTTTCCTGTGGGGCCTTTTTTATCCTCAGTAGCTCATTCTTTCATCCAGTTGTATCAAATGTTAATTTGAAATTGAGAGAGTTGCTAAATCGCTTAGAACATCAAATGCCTGGGTGAATACATACTGCAGCACAGATATGAAACATCACAATTTTGTCTGATGGCTATAAAGCTTGTTGGCCACTTTGTGAAACTGCTGATACAATTGATTTCACTGTAGGCAGCTTTTCAACGGCTTTTTGTAAGTTATCATATTAAATACATTCATTGCTATTGTTTTGTTTTGGTTATCACTGTACCTTTATGAGTGGAGTCCCAGCAACTTAAAGAAATAAGCAAACAATAACATTGAAAAGATTTTTATAGAAATGAACTGGCAACAACAAGTTGAGACACTGTAGACATGAGCCTGAGCTGCAGAGTTTGTACCCTGATCTGAACTCACCTATCGTGCAGGTGTGCTCAGAGCTGGGCATTTGATTCTATCTGTTGCTGAAACATGGGCCATCAGCAAAAGTGTGCTATGGACCCAAACTTTGCCACATTTCAAGGAGTGTTTGGCTCAGATAAAGTTTGGTTCAGGCCCAACTCCAGTAGTTTTAAACAAGAACTCAGTTAAATATAGTAGATGAGTGAGTTTAGAATATCATGATCTGATGTACTGTTTAGACACCCTGCATTAAAATACTCAGAAACCTGGCAAAAGAAGAGGATTTTCCAAGGTTGAACTCCATGAGTCGGCAAATGCTGATTGATAATATGCAACATGAAGCAAAGCAGAATTGCACATTTTGCAACCTATAAGAAAGTGCCACTATGAGATTCTTATCTGCATGCCCTTTGTTTTACACTAATGTTCACTACCCTATTGTCATAGAAAGTTACCAATGCATGGTTTTGGTTGTTTTTGACCTTAAATTTACCGGTGCTTAAGATGATCGTTAGGAAGGTCTTCGCTGTATATGGTAATAAAACGATGAATAGTTCAGAAAGAATGTTAATTCTACAAAAATATGACTTTCAGCTTTGAAAATAAATATGTTTCAGTTTATTAAGAGCTGGTGTCAATGCTGAACAAAATACATAGTCTCCAGTAAAGAAACATGTTGGTGAACTGTTCTTTTTTTCTTTTTTTGATTTATTAAAATACAAGTTGGATCTTGTATTTTTTAATATATTACTTATCTCCCTTGGTTACATTTCCTCATAATTGTGACCATCATTCTCCTCAAAGATGAGAGATAGCAAGAGCAGATTTAAAAAAAATTTTTTTTAGGAGTCTGGCCACATATGCAGCTGTTTTAAGGGGGGGAAAAAACCTGACGATGAAAAAAAGAAAAATATATTTTCTTTCTAATAAATAAAAATAATTTAAAATGCTAGAGGCTATACATGACTATTTTTGATTATGTTCATTTATAAATGAAATAGTTTCCAAAATACATGGAAGCAATATTAAAGGCAGACAAACAAAGATCTGTCTACTTTAGTTTTCCATAACACTCGCCCTTCATAACTTTTCCACGAGTGGGTCGGCATGTAAGAGGAATAAATGTCACATCACCATTCATGAAGTTTGTCAGGCTTTTAAAAAAATAGTTCTGGCCTCCTGTGAGTCAACATTCATCTTCAACTTCTCTGATTGGTGGTATCAAGCTGCTTGTAGATTTATACTGATTGATCTGATTGGCCATGTGAGTGCTCATGGGCTTGATTTGAATGTTTCTGGGATATGCATTATCCGGCTCATCTGTAAACCATTTCTTTTCTGCTAAAGAGCAAAATGGATAGAGACAGAACAAGGAGGGAAAATGAGAAGTTTAATTAGTGCAGTGCAAAAAGCAGTCAGTAAAGTTCATAGACGAAAGGCAATCAATAGAGGGTAACATTGAATAATTGCTAGCAGCAGAGTGTGGTAGATTAATACACCTGAGAACACATATTATAAAAGGAGGAGATGATGTTTACAGGGTTGGTAGTAAAGGGTTAAAGAAAACTGGCAGCTTGCTGGGTTGTTTGAATGTACGAGATTTTTAAAGTATGCTAAGCTATTATCAGAAATAAAAAGGATGAAATTAGAAGCTGGAAGCATAATGTGGTTAGTGCTGGGATACTCTCCTAAGGTTTGGGAGGTTTGTTTGGTTCATGGACGTACCTGAAAATTCAGATTTCTCTGAACCATTTGAACCTCATGGGTCTGCACAACTGGCACATACGAGCCCATGATTTCTCGCACTTCTGCTTCCAGCCCTTACTAGAAATTCAGTAATTTCTGGATGAATCTGAAAAACCATGTTAGTGATGTGGGAAATATTTCAGATCCTTCCTCGGGGTTTGGCACTAGAATACAAAGAGGTTCAAAGTGGGGACTGGGTATGTTCCTGGATGTCATGGCCAATGTTTTGATATTGTCAACCTGGCTGCTTGAGTGCTGCTGAACTATCCCATTGTATACAGATACAGATGGTTCAGATGACTGGGCCAGGTGCCAGCGCCAATATTACATTAGTCTGAATGGAATGAATGAATGGTGAATGGAAGCATGGCAGATGAAGCGGGGGGACCAACAGGCAAAGAATGGGAAGAGAAATGGGGAGGCTTTTCCTTTCTCTGTGTTCAGTATCCATTTGCATGAATATAGTAACAATTTTAGAGTTGAAATTTGAGGGAGTGGGGGAATATTGAGAGACCAAAAAAGTGCAGTTTGCTGTTTACTTGCATAAGACTTTGATGTCTCCGCTGTGGTAGATGCACCCCTTGCACTGTTCAGCTGTGAATAAAACTTGTTAAAAGTCCTGTATGAGAAAATCCTAAATATAACTAGACTTTTTCCTTAAATTGTTTATAGAGCAGAGCTGCTAAAGTCACTTCTTAATTACAGGGAAGCATTTTTGTGTGATACCTCTCCTTTCCCCACTCTTTTGTTTTCCCCTGAAATAAATGAGGGGATTGGCCCTAGGGATGGAATTTAGTTACAGCATATGTGGGGGGTGGTGTTTATGTATTCTTGTTTCTTATGTTGATGGTGGGCTTACATTTATGTGGCCCTTTCCTCCCAAAGGGGATTCCCCCAGACTTCACTGCCAGAGTGTATTATACAAACTAACACTTTGCTCATCATGGAAATGCAGCCTGGACTGGAATGTGGTGGCTGTTTAAAAAAAAAAAAAAAAAAAAAAAAAGCACAGGAACACTAAAGAGTTCAGGAGAGGAAGCAGAGATGATGCTATTCAGATGGAACAGCAGGAAATAAGGACAACATTTTCAAACATGGATGCCTAACTTTAGGTGCCTAAATAGGTGGGCAGACTTCCAGAAGTGCCGAGCACGCAATGGTTACAGCTTTTGGGTACCTATCAGTAGACATCCATCCATGTCTGAAATTTTTTTCTAGTGGATTTGATGCTTGTGTATTCTTTTAGAGCTTTTAATTAAAACCTTAAACGATTATAAAAGCAGTTATTAATGCCCTGCCATTGAAGGCAAGTCAAGGCTAATACATTGTTTTCTCCTGTCATCTTAGATCCTTTTAAAAAGTCATACTCATTGCAGGTCAGGGTGCTTATTCCCTTCCCCAGTAAAGTTGTCTGAGTCTGAACAATGTTCAGTCCCCCCCCCCTTACCTATTATAATTAAGCTCCCTTTGATTTGAACAGATTGAACGATAGGAATTCCTAATGTTACATCCTGCACAGTGAAGCTAACTGATTAAGTGCTTTAAATTATTCTTCCTGACAGAATGATAAAGTTACAATCTGTTCTGAAATGATCTACAGCTTGCCAGACTCCTACTGCTTCTTTCTACATTCATTTATCTTTTTGTCAAGCAGTATTTTTTTTTAAAAAAAGCTTCAATTCCATAGATCTTTTAAAGTCATCAGAACATTTGAATTATTAATGAGACTTTAAGGGAAAGCCTGATGTGGGCTGGTTTACGAAAGGGTGTAGGGGAAAAAATCTGGGAATGTGTACACATCAAAATAATTTCAGCTCCATTTAAAAAACCATTTAGTTCAAGTGTGACACATGAACCATTATGCATTTGTGGAAACCAATTTTGTGTGATCTACGATTAAACTAACCTTTCAGAGAGGTGTAAAGTGTGATGGTTATCATGTTTTAAAAGCCTTGCAAGATCTCACAAACAATTTCAAACTAACAGTTTTCAAATGGTTTGTGTTTTAAATGATTTTGAGGCAAGTTAAGCACTGTGTACTTTTATCTGACTTTTTTGCATACCGCTCACACACTTTGTTTACAAAGAGAACTTGGTGAAAGTTATTTCAATCGCCTGGTGTCAGAAGGAGGAAATGGTGGTGGTGCGAAGGACGAGGATGAACTGTGTCCCCTCTCCTTCCAGCAGCAGATGAAAAGCTTTTCCATCTATCCAGCTTTCCCTGAAATTTGCAACAGCTACACTAGGTAATTGCTAATATATTAGTCTTCACGGTACAATTCATGCTGACCTTTAAAAGTACAGACACTGTCAATTCCCTTTTGCATTCATTCTGTATATAAAATATAGAAAACTACTTGTACGTTCCTTTTTTTTTGCTTTTTAATTCCATCACTCCTTAATGCTGAAACTCTGACCCTTGCATGGTCCTCTCGTTTCAGGTCCTGGGACTCATCAGCTCCTTACCTTTTATGTCTTTGCTGCTCAGATCATCTTCCTTCTCTGACCAAATTATGGCCGGACTGCCTTGAAAGCCACCTTCTCTCTCCTTCAGAACTGGTTCAAGCTCTGCTCAGCCTTATCTTCAGGCCTCTGTACTATTCTGCTCTCATCTCATCCTACACCCTCTCTCAGTCGTTATATTTTTTCTTTGATTTCTCTCAGTTTTGGCTTCACAATCACTTTGTGCTTGGAACAGCCTCCTGCTCTCCGTAAATGACACACCTTGCCTTTCCTTAAATCCATCCATAATATCCTCTCCTTTCAGAAGTCTTCATATATTGAGTTCTCCACCAATGATGTGGCACTTCTTGGCACTTGAACATTTGTCCATGTGTCACATTTGTCTAAGTGAGAGCCTTGGGGCGGCAGGGGAATGATTTTGTAGGTCCTGTTTAAAGAACCCTGTATGCTCTATGAACTCAGGCCAAAACAGCACTGTCTTGTGGCATGGCACAGAAAGGATTTACCTCTGCTATGAAATGCTAGGGTTTTTTTTAAAGGGCTACCAGCACCCGTAAAGGAAACAGCCACTTAGAAAGGGTCTATGTAATATGCAGAAAAGGGCAATAAGAAAATTAGGAGTCAGAAATGTGTTGCAAACCCTCAGTTCAGCAAGGTTATAGCTCTAAGTCTGTGAGTAATCCCAGTGAAGGCAAATGGGCTATTTTCATGTTCCCAAGGACCTTGCTCTATCGAAACAGCTATTTCTGGAGTCTAGTGCTTAAAATACAAATTTCTTTTATTAATAATGAAATCTAGCTACATAAAACACATTGGCTTCCATTAAACATTTCCCACAGTTGCTGCACAGTGGGGTCTGAGACTAATACCCACTGCATGGCTACTCAGAGCAAATGCTGCCTCTTTAAGGGAGACCATTTTATTGTGACAAAAGACTGAAGTTAGCTTTACTTTTAGCTGTAGCATAGAACTGGTGACAGCCCTCACATTTGGTTCAGATAAAGCACCTACAGGTCTCATCCAAAGCTATCAGAACCCTTTGGCTCTGCTCAGGTGGGCTGGCAATTTCATAAGACCAGGCTTTCTCATGGTATTTTTCCATTCGTGCCTCTGGCATTGGCCTGAAGAACATTTATAATAGTGTAAGGCTAACAAAAGTGGGGAGGAAGGCTAGGTTAGTGGTTAAAGTACAGGACCTGGGGGATCTGAGTTCAGTTCTCACCATAGACTTCTTGTGTAACCTTGGGCAAGTCAATTATTCTTCCCTGTCTCACAGTTCCACATGGGGATGTTCTTCAGGTGTGTGCTGAGTCTTAAATCTAGCTAGACATCTGCGTATATGGCCCTTTATCTAAGCACCTCAGATTTAATAACAGTTGCCATACAAAACCAAGTCCAATGGCCTATAGTAGTGAGCGTTTCGCAGGGAGGCCTAAAGTTCCCTAATACACATAATAGTTTGGGGTGGATTTCTTCTTGCCCCTACCTAGTGATCAGCTTGCTATAGAAACATGAGCAACTATGGCCTTTTTAATTTTGAAGAAAAATAATACAATTACTTTTGCAAACCAAAACCACTTTTTGATTTTGGTTACGGATTGGTGTTCAGATTAGGTCTGTTGCCTCACACCATTCACCCAGAGACTAACTTTTATTGTTGTTCCTGAGTGTCCTTTGGCTGGGACATGGGTTTTATTAAAGACACTGAACACCACACTCACCTGCAAGATGTATGTACCTGTGTAAAAGGAATTTTCAGCGATAAAAGTTTTCCCGAATGTTTCTGGGAGTCATATAAAAGAAAATGCTGTAGCACACAGCAGCTGAGCATCCTGGCCCATAGCCAGTCTTACAGAATATGTTGTGTGTGGGGAGAGGAGCGTGTGCAATCTCACTACATCAGTAGCTTGAAGGCGGGGGGGAGAGGGGGCGTCAACTGGGGAGCTAGTTAGAAACAGCCCCTGATGCCGCCTCCAATAAAATACACTGCAGACGCTGATATTTGAGTGTTGACGCTGTCAAGGGTAGAGTGGTCTTACCCCTTTATGTTCCTTAACAATGCCTGCTGACCCACTTTTCAGTCTCCAGGGAGTGCAGAATAGCCCCTTAGCTCACAGCAGGTTCTACAGCTTGGTGGCTGCTTAAGCGGCTACCCCCCCGGCCAAGCCAAATCCAAATACGCTTCAGATAGGTGTGTCTCACTCCCCCCCCCCCCTGTAGTATAGTGGGGAACACGCTACTGCTCTGGCAGCTGGGCCAGGGAGGTAGATGTCCCAGAATCCCCAGCACAGTAGCTGGCAAACATGGAATACCTCAGAATTCTTATTATTGTGGCGCTGCAAGGGCATGTCCAATGTTCTAACTTGGGGGCACTTCCTGCTTCCTTTGCTACAGGCCCTTTAAAAAACATCACCTGCCATGGAAAAGTGATACTTCCTGGAGACCACCACCACCCCCGGGCCAGGGGCTAGGGGAAGCAGACCCTCTGGAAGACTACAAAGGTAGGTGGAAGGGAAGGGGGGGGGGGGGGGTGTCTGGGCATTAGGTTTCTTAGGAGGCTTGAGATCAGTGGATTCCCCCAAATGAGCCTGGGGTTGATGCCATCTGCTTCAAATTGACCCTGAAAAATGTGATTCAAGTGTGTTACATGAATGGACCCATTCAGGGTTCACCCATATTTAGTTAGCATATGGTGTCAGGGACTGGCAATGATGATTGTGGTTATGTTGGCGTGTTCGCTTTTAGTTGTGAAAGTGCTAAACCCTAAATCCATGAGCATGCCTTCAGAAGACTCCATCCCCAGAGGTGAGGCAAGGAAGATACTGTACAGCCATAGGGGGTAATTCAGAGCATACTCTTGTTGCAAGCTGTGGTTTGGAGCTAATGTGTTAAAGCAAAATATTTTCGCGGCTGATACAGAAAAAAAACAGCTAAGAGCATAACAAAAAGGTAACAATATAGGCAGCCTACTTAAAATTAAATTGTGGTGTTAGACAATCTTGCATGCAGTTGCTTCCTAACTAGGAAATACTAGAAGTTTCCCCACCCACCCAGGATTGTTAGTTTGGCAGGGGAGTATTTTATGATAATCAATTTGCAGCTTGGTGAAACTGCTCTCATTAGTTGTGAATTTTTTTGACTGGTTCTAATACAGCTCTCCTTGCAAATATACTACAAGGTTTGAAGGACTCCGCTAATGGTTGAATAGATGATACAAACTTGCACACACACACATTTGTAAAAAAAAATGATGTGTTTGGGAGCAGATGTGTTTAATTCCCTCTGGTGTTAATGGCAGCTTTGCCTTTACAGGGCAGGGAAGGTTGGGCCTGCTGACTTCAGGGGCAGTGGAGGCCTGCTCAGCCAGTGTCAGGATCTTGGCCCTTTGTCTGTCAGCCTAATGGATGCACATTGGTACCTAATAATTACTTTTTTATAGCATGATACAAGTTATTCGGACTCCAGTTGGCAATGCAGAATAGGAAGGAAATCTCAGTTTTTGCAAGGTAGTGGTATAATCAGGGGTGAAAGTAAAATTTCTCTCTTACCGGTACTGGGGAAGGGGGAGCTTTACCCCCCCCCCCCGGAAGGGGCTGGGCTGGGGGGGGCAGTGTCCCCCAGCCAGCCCACCCGTGCCACCAGCGGTGACGTAAAGGGCCCAGGATAGCTGTTCCTTTTGCCCCCCCGCCCCACTGTTGGCAGCCGGGGGAGGGGGGGGGGGCGTGGCAAAAGGGGCAGGCAGCACTTTAAGTAGGGTCTTTTTGCCGCGGCAGCGCTTTAACGTCACTGCCCCTTTTGTGCCCCCCACCCCACCCCATCCCCTGGCGGCGGCCCTGCTGGTAGCAACCCCGGCAGTGCTTTAAAGTCAGTGGTACGGGCTGGTACAGGCGGCCACTTTTTACCGGTACGCCGTACTGGCCCGTACCGCCTTACTTTCACCCCTGGGTATAATGGATGGGGCACTTTCATATTTGGTGGGCTTATGTGCCTAACTTGCTATGGGGGAAAGAGAGAGTACAGCAAATACTACGAAATTTACAGAAAGCACCTAAACAAGCTCAATATCTGAACCATGGAAAGGCCTGTTACCATAGAAACCTGAGAGTTTCACGTAATTGTTCCTGTAGGAATACAACTCCCTCTGGCTTTTCCTTTACAGGAGTATTCTTTAACCAGAGTTTCAAATACAAGACACACAACATTGCAATCTTCTACCTTTTATACAATTTTTCACCTTTGGGGTGGAGCAGAGTACTTTAAACCAAACATTTTTATGTATATATTCTGGGACAAATTCGTTTAATGTTGCCATAACTCAACTTAAATCAATGGAGTTATGCCGTCTTACACCAATAGTTAATGTGGTCCTTATATTTGTAAAAGAAAACAATGCGTTTACCAGGAGTAGCAGTTAGAAATCAAGGGTGACAGCAATTCTTGACTTTGGGTAGCTCTAGATCTCTGGGGTGATAGAAAATTTCCATAGTGTCATTGAAAATGTTATAAAATATTTTTGAGGCTAGAGAGCCCCAATCTGGTTTAAACACTCCAGTATTTGTCATGTACAAAGGACAACAGTCTCTGTAGACCACTGTAAAAAAAAATCCTCATAGTTTCCTATATATGATTCAACATGCTGTATATTGACAGCAATAAAAATGTATTTGGCCCAGTCCTCAAGTCCTTTTTCACTCCTTCTGCCTGAGGCAAAATTCCCATGGAGAATTAGTCCTTAGTAAGGCCATGGAGGATCTCATATTTAGTGTTTCATTTTCTGCTCTGTTCCCAAAGTGGACAAATTGGTTCTCTAATTGTCTATCGCTTTCTGTCTAAGACAGAAATGATCATATTTGAAAAACAGTACTTGCATAATTGTGCATGCATAGAAGTCTGTGACAACCGATTCCATATTAACTCCCTAGTCAATGAGATGAAATGGTAACAGAAAAGCATGTGAAAGCTGCTAACAAATAAAATGTTCATGAACTTGGTTAAAGGGTGTGGGAGAGAAGTGGAATGGAAATGAGGATTTGGCAAGTTAAAATGATGTCTGCAATAGGTAAACATTTTTACTGTGCAGGTGGTTAGATGTTTAGTAGTGGACACGTGCAATTAAAAGGCAAGCAGGTGAGAGGATAAAAATAAAATAGGGTTGAGCAACAGCAGCAGCAGCCAGTTTTACTTTTGATTTAGGGGAAAAAAAGCAAAAGAATTAAAAAAATAAACCAATAACTGAATAAAGTTTCTCATTTTTTTTTTTAATTCCACAAGTTTTCACAAGGACAAGGTTATAGAAGGAAACCCACAGCAGTTGCTAGGTCATGCAGAACCATTAATTGTCATACCTTGGCCCATTCTATTCATCCTTGTTGCACTTTAGAAAGAGAAGTAAGCTATGTAAGTTTTACAATGCTTTTAAACTGTCAAATTTCCTGTTGAGCACTTTAACTGGCACAGCCTTGTAGTTATGAGTGTTCTTAGGGCAAACCTTCATAACTGTTTTCAAAGAATACCTGAATTTGTCTTCATATACAAGGATTTTTGGGATGAGGGACAAACATAATTTGAAATACCATCCCCTGATCAGACTTGCAGCTGCATTTGATTACACACACACACACACACACACACACACACACACATATTTCTCATTCCAATCATTATTCTTAATGCTGCACTGTGGGTAGCCCCAGTTGTACCATACCAGGTTTTGTCAGTAAAAGTGCTTGACTTCATTGTTGATTCACACAGCAAGCAAAGCTCCAAAATTACCATGCTTGGGGAGAAGAGAGGGGAAAAAACAGCACTAACCATAAAAACACCTCTTGCTGTTTGGCAGCTACCATGCGACTCCTCCTCTTGCATATGTTTCCTAGAGATACACCTTCTGTGCTGGGCAGCCAGGCACAAATGAAGTAGGTGATATGATTTCATGGCATCCTTTTCCCCAGAGCATTTAAAACAGGTTTGAAAAATACATTTTTGTGTCTTTCTATCTTAATTTTCTGCCACAACTTTAGCTTAGCTAACTGAATAACTGGTAAGCAATCCAAATTCTGGCAAGTACGGCGGCTGCACTGCAAATATTATAGTACTCCTCCAATACTGTGGTTAGGAGCAACCTAGCACACAGCATCTTTCCTTCTGCTCCACTCTAGTCCATGAGTAGCCACTACTGGGTTTGGGAATACATATAGGTTAATGTGTGGGGCATTGCTGGCATGCACCCTTCACAAACCAGAACACAGTCCAGGATTTCTTCCTATTAATTAGGACATTTAATGAAGGGTCTATACCAAACTTGACAAAGTTAAACTACCATCAGGAGGTAAAGTCCCCTGAAGACTGATGCTTAGGGGATGATACTGAAAAATACTTTCTCTTCTCTGTACATAAGGTGAATTAGTTACCTTTTCAAAGATGTAAAAGTACTGGGAAAGCAGTTTTTAATGACTTACATCCAAGAAACATATGGCTTTTCATCCCAAATGTCAAAAGTGAACGAAAATGTAGCTACTCATATGGCAGTATAAATAGAAAGAATAATAATTTAACATGCTATTAGACACTTTTTTTTTAAACTTAGAGTTTTACAACTCCTTGCCCAGAAAATTTCAGCGTTAAAGGGAGGAGATGTTCTCTCTAAAAGGACAGTATAACGTCCTTATACAAGTCTCTGATGCTGTTACTTTGGTATAGAGCAGGTGCTTAATAATCTCTACAAAGGGTGAAAGCCTTATGCTATTTCAGCGAAACAATCAGTAGTTTGGTTTTTTCAGTGGGTAAGCCTTCCAAGCTTCAAATAAAGGTACTAACTTCTTGTGTATGTTTTAACAAAAACCCCAATACAGCAACACTTCTGCATTAAATAACTTTCTTTGTGTAACTCTGACATCAAGTGTTCATGCTAAACACATTCTATCTTCTGATATGTAGAGTAGGTGCTACGGTGAGTTATTTATGTTTTTGGCATGCCTATGGGTTTAGGTTTTTTCCCCCCTTAGCATCATAAATAACTTTTGGTCCGTCTGCTTTGTTGCTGTTGTGCTTAAGGGTTTTATGGTGGTGAAATAAAAATGATAATCACATGCACACTGTCATAGATATGTAAAATATGAGTACAAAAAAGGAGGGAGAAGAACTCCATAGGAAAACAGGGAAACGCCAACTGGGGGGAAAGGGTGGCAGATGCAAGTTTCACACACGGTAGGGGTGGGTACACATATCAAAGTCTATCTTCTTGCACATACTTCTGTTTTTCCCGGGAGTCCCGAGTCTTGGTGCGGTTCTGTCGGTTTGCTGTCGATGGGATAGAGTGAACCGATGAGCTCTTTTTGCTGGAGGAGTACGAAGAGTGGGAGGAATGAGAGAGACTGGCCCGGGACTGGCCAGCATTGTGGTCAAATTGCATCAAACAGAAGATCAAGTCTGTGGGCACAAGCTCAAACTCATAGGGTGGGTTTGTGATAACATAGCTAGAAAAGCAAAAAAGAAAGTGGCTTTAGATTTGCATTAAAATCTCCTCTAGAAACATTTATCTGAAATTTTGCATTTCTACCTCCTTAGTTGTAATACATATTTAGCTTGTATAACAACCTGGCAATCTACTCACAGACCACCCGTGTCAGGCTGCCACAATCAGTGGCGGCTTCTGAACCAAATATTCTCACCTTTGGAACTCATTCTACCACCTTGCTGATACATTGCTGGGGGAGTTAACGTCCTCAAGAACCAGCAGTAATGCACTAGCAAAAACATTTAAATAATTGCTGAAGTGAGGGCATTACATGTGTGGTCCATGGTGGTCTATTTAAGTACTGTCAAGGAGCACTAGAGGAAAAAAAAATGTTCTTTTGCAATGAATGTGTATAGAAAAATAAATTAATAAACACTGCAGTAAGGCTAAACATTGTCTCCATGATCTTTAGGTGTATTTATAAATGCAAGAAAATCAACACCTACATTTGCAGATGCAAACAAAATCTGCCAATTAATCTGAAGCTTCACAACGTCAAACAACTCTGTGCAAGGCAAGGGTAGCTTACAAACTCTCTCAGTGAAATTCTGCATGCATGTGGTGCTCACTGACTTCACAAGGCAGGCCCCAAGCTGTATCCAAGAGCAGAATTATGTTTTTTTTCTTTTACGTGACTGATAATTGTAGACTGACGCCTTACTCAGTCCACAACTATTCAGGAAGCATTTTATGTAAGTAAATGGGAATTTTTTGCTTAAATCATTAAAAACTGATCAAGAATGCCACAATTTGGCCCTACCAATTTTTTTTCTCCAAGTGAATTTAGTGCTTTTGAAAGATCTGGCTTGGCAGTCTTGGAGACTGAAGTATTTTGCTTATCCACAGAAGAGCTAGCAATCAGTAAAGTGACAATCAAAGTTTCACTGCCCTGCTCTATCCAAGATGTCCCAAGTCTAAACTAGGAGGAACCACCTCAGAGGGTGATAGGGTTGCTTGTTTGCCTTACCCATTCAGTGGTGAGTCTTTCTGCAGCATTTGTGAATGTGCAGATTAGGGCCAGTTACAGTGGGGTTTGTGTGATGTGGTTATTGTTTAGTAAAGTAAAACCCTCTACTCATAGAAGCTTAGCAAACTGATGGCCAAAGTGAATATGGTCCTCTTTGATGCATACATTGGCCCAGATCCTGCTCCCACTGAAATCCATGGAAATGTTGTCTTTGTGCAATCAGAATATTGCATTAAGATGGCTTCTGTGCAACGAAAACCATATAGATCCCCAAGTCTTGATCCATTAACTGAAGGAAATGATGAGAAAATGCAACTATCCAAAATAGGAAACCGATGGGAAAGTTTTACTGAGGATGTCAGTTATGCAATATGATATTGCTCCGAGAACAGTGCTTCTCACAGTCTGAGCCCCATCACAGAGAAAACTGTGGCCACTATCTAAGTACAGAAGAGGTTAAATTTATGTAATAAAGCAGGTTAGAACATCGTCAGGACTATATTAATGACACTAATTTACTGCTGATTAAATGTAGCAAACAGTAAAGTCCTCCCCCACCTCCCGCAATTGTGAGTAGAATATGTTGGGTTATCATAAATGAGACTAAGTAAGGATGCAATTAAAGATATGGTGCTGTCTGAGCATTTAAATTGCCACGTCATTAGAAGAGCTCAAAAGCATGTATCTTTCACCAACAGAAGTTGGGCCAATAAAAGATATTCCTCACCCACCTTGTCTGTGTAACCACCATGGCTACACTGCCACTTCATTTTTGTCAACTTAAAAAAGACAAATAAAACAATATTCTGTGGTATGGCTTGAATTGGTTAGAGTTCCACTAAGGCTCACCAAAGAATTGGAAGAGGTATTCATGTCACAGTGATATAGAAAGTGGTTGGGGAATGGAGAAAATTGTTTAAACATTATTTGTGCCCTGTACAAGGCATCTGGATTGTCCACAGCAGGAAGAATGAAGCATAATCAGCAAGAGAAGTAAAAGTCTAGACATACCGTTTAGTGCATTGGCTAGGTGTGCTTAGATGTGCATCTCTCAATCGGTAAATTCCAAAACAAAGCATATTGTATGTTTTCAGTGCTTTACAAAACAGATCTCCATAACAACCACCATCCTAGGAGACAAAACAAAGCGTGTGTGTGGGGGGGGGGAGTATTTTCAGTCTGTTTCACACTTTGGCACAGAATCACAATCTGTTGTTTACCTGTCACAGATGAGAAACAATTAGTCAAGAAAATCCCTAATCTAAATGTTGAATTGCAAAACTGTGTATGTATAGGATATTACTGCCCAGTGATTTTATTTGATGGGAACTTGCGATCAGTGAGTGACTCTGATTTTAACTAGAAGAATAAGGTTTGGGGACAGAGAATAGATGTTCTATCATTTGAGAGAAACATGGTCTCAACAAAATAATTATTAAGAACGTGTGGTGTTTTTTGCTCCGATTTTGGGAGTATGCATGTTGTGAAAGAAAATCAGTATGGAGAGCAAAGTGGTGCTGCTTTAGAACCTTGCAAAAAGCATAATTTGTAGATGATGGAGATGAAGGGGGAAATTTTCCCACAAGTTCTGCTTTGAAATACTGAATTAATTGACTCTAATAAAATAGTTGCCCTTTAAGTAATCCATTGGATTATCATGAGTTAACAATTAAGCTTCATTTGGGTCGATATAATTCATTGGCTCTTAGACATGGATGGGGCAGATTTCAGATACTGTCAATTGGCTTAGCTCCACTGATGCACTCCAGCTGAAGTTCAAGCTCAGTACCATATTGAGAATTGGTATTAATTCTTTGCAGTTTGCTTGTCTACACTTTGAGAGCTATGAGTGAAGGGTGCTAGTTAAGGGCAGTTATATGGAGGCAGGATAAACAACAGAGCCTCCAAAGACCTAACTCGGTGTTGTCCTGGTATCTTGCATTAGAATTCTAATTGCACTTCGAATACAGGTAGGGTGAGTTTAAGTAATTAGTATACCCATTCTGCAGATAAGTTCACTGATTGTTGAAGACAGTGGCAGAGCTTGGAACAGAACTCCTGTGAATAAAGACTCTGTTTATAATAGTGTACAGTGACTTAGACAATCCAGAATTCTGTTGCATCACATGGCACACTATTGACTACCGCTAAAATATTCATATTATAACTCTTGCATGGGATGTGTATTTAGTAAAATTACAGTACAGTTCTGATGTCAAATTCATTCAGTTTTGTCAAATAGCCATGGATCCCAGTGTCTTGGAACTCTCAGAAGAGAACAACAACGTATCAATTGACATACTGCGTCAGACCAGTGGTCTGTCTTGTCCAATAGCCGATCTTGAGCACTTCCAAGGGAGGTGCATGGTGGATAGTGATAGAATAACTTGACAATAGCAAAAGTTCCTAATCCATCAATTAGTGTCTGTTTTATGCCCTGAAATGTAAGTGTTTATATCCTTTCTAAAAAGTAATCTTAATATTATCTAATGTAACCTTCCTGGGGATGTTAGCTTAATGTAGAGCTGGAGCTGCAACAATATTTGTAGTTATTGATTGAAAGATGTTCTCTAGTATTTGAAAATAAAATATGTTTAGGTTACTTAATTTAATGGCCAACTTAGCTGAATGCTGCAGCATTTGGTTGAAGGCTTGATCCCCACTTTCAAACATTTGATCATTAAATCATAGGAGTGGAAGAGACCTCAAGAGGTCTTCTAGTCCAGTTCCCTGCATTTAAAGCAGGAATAAGTATTATCTAGACCATCCCTGACAGGTGTTTGTCTAACCTGCTCTTAAAAAAATCTCCAATGAAAGAGATTCCACAACCTCCCTAGGCAATTTTTCCCCGTGCTTAACTACCCTGACAGAAAGTTTTTCCTAATGTCCAACATAAACTGCCCTTGCTGCATTTACTTCATGTCATAGCCTCACAGGTTAAAGAGAACAAATTTTCTGCCTCCTGATTGTAACACCCTTTTATGTACTTAAAAACTGTTATCATGTCCCGTCCCCCCCAGTCTTGTTTTCTCCAGACTAAAAGAACCTAATGTTTTCAATCTTCCTTTATACGTCATGTTTTCTAGACCTTAAGTCTTTTTTGTTGCTCTTCTCTGGACTTTGATCACATCTTTCCTTTGCCTAGTAGCTCTAGTTATTTTATTAAATGTTCAAGAGGAATTATTACTTTGACCAACTGAATGAAAGTTTCAGACAGTTGGCCAATGCAACAGTATGACTATGACCCACATACTAGTGGGGCTTATTCACTCAACAGTGAAATGTAGTCAGCTCAGAGGTGGAACACAACAGCCATTTTTATGGCAGCAACTCCAGAATTTGTATAAGGGAAATTGCAGACATAACTTTAATTGTTATTTTATGGATATTCAAGGTAGGCTGAAATTAACTACCCAAGTATCAACACTTTGGCAGGCAAATGCTGTTTTACTTGCCTAACTGTTAATCTGAGCATTCAAATTAAGGATCTGTTAATCCTATCGAGATGATTTGAGTTTAAAAATCTTTTTTTCATCCTCCTCTGATTTCTGCAGTAAATGATGGGTGATTGGCTGTGTGTGTGTAATTTTGTAGCCTGTCCATTGATTTAAGATTGCATTTACCAGTTCTGTTCATGGAGAAGAGAGTTCTGTGTTCCATGAAAATCACAGAAAATTTGATTAATTTACAATGAAGGTCAACCCTATAACACCATGAATGGTGAAATGGATGCTTTGGAAAAGCATGAGCAAGATTTACAAGGTATGGCAATTTGGTTTGGTTCAAATAAATGTTTCTATATGTCTAGATGCTTTTTACATTTTGGGTACTGGGATGGGAAAATCAGAAAAAGAGTTTCTCACATGATTTTTAGCACGTATGGATTTCAGATAGGTTGGAAACAACAAAATACAATCTTCCTTGCTGAATATTCAAGCTGATGTTTATGGTCTTAGCAAAACCGGGAAGTTCAGGGGCACACAAATTAAAAAAAGCCTATCAAATCACCACAAAGTTTCAGGTTGAGCTCATCTTTAGAAATAGGGTTTGGGGTCAGCCCGGATTTTATCCAAACGGTCTCACCCATCCCTTTGGACACTGTGAAGAACTACAGGTTTGTTTTTTTTAATGGGACTGGCTCTATGAAGCAATGTTAGTGTCTTTCTGAAAAAAAATAGCAGAGTGGATATGGAGGATCCAGCAACTGAAGGGACCTGAGGAACTCCTTACAGAAATTATTTCTTGTATATTGTCGTTTCTGGTTTCAGCCTGCATAGCCTATAGAGCCGCTTCTTAATCAGGGTAGGGGCAGTTTGGTACTGAGAGCAGCAACGTATCACCAGATCTGCCCAAAATTTCAAGTGGACTCCATGGCTTTCAGGGGAGAAATTAAAAAAGAGGAACACCATGTTCATTGTTATGGAAACGTTTTTTTAAAAATTCAGCAGATGATGAAACAGTTACGGAACGGCTGTCTTGATATTACTTTTCTTTCATGATCTTACCCCTAGGTCTGCAAATGGCCCATCATACAAAGCCAACTGAGCAACTCGACACCTGTCTCTGTTTGCAAGTGTCTGGGGCGTGCTGTAGCCTCCTCTCAGTGCATTCTCCTCAGCAATCAGCGCTTCCAGCTCTGGTGTGGCTCCTCCTGTTACCAACGTCCGTATCAGTGTGAGGATATTGTCATTGAAGTATGTCTGCAGAGATAAAAGAAAGCTCTTTAAGCAAACACCATTAAAGTCACAACTGAAGACATCCAAATTACAACTTTTCTGGGTTTCTGCTGTTTAAAGTTCTCGGCTGTCTCTTCAAATAATTTTACATAGAAAATGAAAAGACAGCAGCCTCCAATTACTCTATTTTCTTCTATCCCATTAGGCTCCTACACTAGATCCTGCCTTTTAAACACCAATTCAGGCTGATTTTTATTAAAGAACAAAAATTTGAATGATTTATGTTTCCTATAATTGGTGTTAGTAGTGATGCAATGACTCCTTTCTTTCTCATTGCCTTCATGTCTAATAACAGGCTTTAGGACATGTAATTGTAAAATTCAGACCACATTTAAAGCTTACACGGGCTAGACTGCCTTTTTATACTTGTCACCAATTCGTTGGGGAGCTGCCTTTGTGCTGCAAATGTCATTACTTATTACTGTGGCTGGACTCTCGCAGTCTAACCGATATATTGCACTAAACATCTTATTACGAGACTTGACAGTGTTCAGACATAAGCATGTATCAATTAAACATTTTGAGTTCATTCCAGATAAATGTATGATGAGTTTGGGATCCTGGTGGTCCTTTTAAAAAACTCTAGGGTATAGGGTAAGTGTGGTTTATTAGGGAAGATTTACTCCACACTGACATTTTGCCAGCATCTGTAGCATTGTCTGTCAGGCAAACAATGGACATTTTAAATATTAATTTAATGCCAGATGAATGACTTTCAAGTTCATTTAAAAGTATACTGGTCTAGTTCAAAGATACTCGTTAAATATCTACACTATACAATGTGTGCTGACAATATGCACTGTTTAAAAACATAATACTCAAAAAACGACCACCACCAAAAATCAGCCTCTATTACTTCCAATCCTACTGATATGTAGTGTTTTTAGAAGACTTGCGCATCATGAAGCAGATTAGGAGAAAAAGATTCATATAAATCTCTTGGGGGCAAAGGACTTGCCTTATTGCCTACTGCGGAAGTTAGACCAGATGACTATTAATACTTAGTCCTCAAATTGTACTTTTCATCCACAGATCTCAGTGCTCACTACAAAGACAGGGAAGCATCACTATTTACATTTCACTGACGGGGAAACAGAAACACATAGAGGTGAAGTGACTTGTCTTAGATCACACAGCAGGTCAGAGAGTAGAGCTAGCTTCTAGACCAATGCTTTATCCTCATTACCTTCAGCATTGGACTCTCATAATCTCAGTTTTATTGTTCAGATGTGACCACCATGAAATTTTTTTCATCTCAATAGTGAGTTGTGATTGCTATGAAAGCTTCATTTTCATGACTTCAGGCCTCTGCTGTTTTATACACAGACATGTCTAAATTACCAAAAAAAAAAAAAAATCCAGTCTAGAGAAATACAGTGTATTTAGTGGAACAAAATAACCAGAATTGTCCTTTTATATACTCCTAGACAATTATTACTGTGTTATGCCTACTGTATGCATGTATTTACCTGATTGATCAGAATTGCCCCTAAATATGATAATCTAAGGGGAAGTGGGGCATGTAATTAAATGTTTAAAAATTGGAAGCAATGAAGGAGGAAAAGTACATTTTATGATCACTTCCAAGGGGGTATGATTACGAGTAATCAGAAGCAAAGGAGAATATTGGGTGGGAAATCCTGAATGATAGGATTACAGTGATAGTATTTGATACATTATGACAGAATTGGTGGGATAATTAGAGGGTACAGCTTGTTCAGGAAGGAAAGTAAGGGAAGAGGTGCTGCATTATACATCAAGGATGCATTCACTTGTTCTGATGTCCAGAAGGAGGTGAGAGGCAGACCAAAGTGTGTGGGGGAAAACAAGCACGACAAGGGCCTACGATAGCACAGGAGGTGGATGAGGCATTTCTAGAACAAAGAACAGAAATTTCCAACACATGAGACCGGGTAGTAATGGAGGACTTTAACTACCCAGACATCTGTTGGAAAAGTAAGATGCCAGTAAGTTCTTGGAATGTGCTGGGGACAGCTTCTTGCTTCAGAAGTAACCAAGTGGGCAGCCACTTTAGACTTGATTCTGACTAGGAAGAAGCTGGTTGCAAAGTTGAAGACAGTTTGGGTGAAAGTGACCAGAAAATGATGGCATTAGAGCAACAGCATAAGGACAACGGCCTTCGGACTAACTGCTAGCTAAGGTCCCAAGGGAAGAAAATGTAAGAGAAAAAGGAATTGAGGAGAGCGGGCAGTTTTTATTAATGGCAAATGCTCCAGGTGCGAAGGAAGAGACCAACATATCTCCATCAGGATCTCTATCATGATCTAAAAAGGAATCCTACAAAAAGTGTAAATATGGACAATTTGCTAAGGCTGGTTACAAAAGAATAGCACAAGCATGTAGGGACAAAATCAGAAAGGCTAAAATGAATTACATCTACCAAGGGACATAAAAAGCAATACAAAGACCAAGAAAAGTGTAGGTCCACTACTTAAGGAGCACTAACAACTAAAGACTGAGATGTTTAATGCTTATTTTGCTTCAATCATTACTATAAAGTGTAATGGTGACCTTAACAGCAAGGAGGAAGACTCACAATCCAGAAGAGGGAAAGAACAGGTTAAAGAACATTTAAATTGGCAGACCCTGATTAAATTCACCCTAGGGTACTTATAAAACTAGCTGAGGTAATCTCGGAACCATTAGCAATCTATCTTTTAAAAAAGGGACTGGTGGAATTATAGACCAGTCAGCCTAACTCTGATACCTGGAAAGATATTGGAGCACAATCAGTTTGTAAGCACCTAGAGGATAATAGGGTTATAAGGCATAGCCAGCATGACTTTGTTAAGAACAAAACATGCCAAACCAACCAATTTTCCATCTTTGACAGGGTTACTGGGCTAGTGAATGCAGGGAAGCAGTTGACATGATAGCTCTTGATTTTATTAAGGCCTTTGCCACGATCCAACATAACACTCGCAAATGCGGTCTATATTAAATTTCTATAAGGTGGGTGCAGAACTGGTTCAAAGACCAAGAGTAGTTATCAAGGGTTTGCTGTCAAATTGGGAGGTGGGGAAGTTGTATCGAGTGTGTGTGGGGGGTCTGTCCTGGATGTGGTACTAGTCAATATTTTCATGAATTACTTGGATAATAAAGTGGTCATTATACTGATAAAATCTGCAGATGACACCAAGCTGGAAGGAGTTGCAAGCAATTTGGTGGACAGGATTAGAAGTCAAAAATGACCTTGACAAATTGGAGACTTTGTCTGAAATCAACAAGATGATGGTCAGACGAGTCCTAAACTTAGGAAGGAAAAATCAAATGCACAACTACAAAATGGGGAATAATTGCCTGTGGTAGTACTGCTGAAAAGGATCTGGGGGGTTATAGTGGATCACAAACCGACTATGATCCAACAATGTGATGCAACTCCCAAAAAGAGTAATATAGTTCTAGGAGAGTCACATGTAAGAACGGGAGGTATTAGTTCCACTCTACTTGGCACTGGTGTCCAGTATTGTGTCCAGTTCTAGGCACCACACTTTAAGAAAGGGGGAAGGCAAATTGGAGAGCGTCCAGAGGATAGCTACAGGAACGATACAAGGGCTAGAAAGCTGGACTTTTGAGGAAAGGATTAACTGGGCATATTTAATTTTGAGACAGGAAGACTGTGGGGGAGGAGGAACTGATAACATTAGGCTGAGAATACAACACTCACTTCACTAAAGAACTCATGTTAAACTGTGAAGCAATGGCAAAAGAATACATTAAGTCTTGCACCTGTCACAAATGTTTCCAAGTAAGAGATAATAGGCCTTATTCTGATCCCAGGAGCAAGCCAATGGGACTCAATGGATTTACAGTGATGTAAAATTGATCCAGTTCAGAGGGGAATTAGGCCCGCTGTCACAGGAGAATGGTCTCCCACTGCTAGACAAATGTCAAGGCAAAGCTAAAGACATTTATTTGGAAAGCAGACAACATTTATCTTGGAACAATAGTTTACTTTGGGTTTCACACCATGACTTATGTGGATGTTATCATTTAATTTGATAGATGAGTGCAGTTTTTGTTCGTGCTGCCGTCGCTGAATAAAAATATTCTAATTTTAAGAATGGACGCCTGTCCTGCAAGCAGAAAACATCCTAGGTGAACAGGAGTCTAGCATGCCTTCTGGATGGTTAGAGATTGTTAACACTGCCTAAGCCTGCATGCTCTCAACTCCCATGAGACTCAGGCCCTCCTTCAAATCTTTCCACTATGGAGATGGGGCGCCTGCTGCACCTCATAGGATCAGGCTCTAAAAGGTTAAAAAAAAAAATCTGACCCGGCTGATTTCCATTTCCTTTGAAATAATAATACACATAACGTGAGAGTGATGTGCTCACTCTGCGGGTGGATACAAGGCCTGGACATGCCAGTACTTGTGCGGGAACAATGTGTTGAATGAGTGCTGTAGCATTAAAACTAACAAGCTACTTTTCAGTAACAAATGCAAATTCCTTTTATTAATTGTATAATCATCACTGAAAAACACTTCTCTGCTGCTGTTACTAACTGTACCCCGCATTGGATGTCGTGATAACATTATTATACCAGTATTATACATGCATTGGCTACAGTGCTGAGTAATGGGACTGCATTATAGACGCCACACCGTAGGGTAATTGACAAGCAACTGGATATCTGAGCTAGCAGTGCCACCTAGCCCATGTGACTGAATTCTGTTGCAGCTGGTTTTGAGTGTAAGTGTTCTGAGACTGCTTTAAAAATGGTTGAACAAACTGGAAAGCATAATTACCAAAGCTTATGTTTCGCAGTTAATGCTGTCAAGCCTTTTAAACTAATTGGTCTTTTACAGAAAATTTAACTGAAAATTAACACATCTTTTAATAACATTGCTTTAATTTTAATGACATTTTGCCTTTCGTTTATAGCTACTCTAAAATTGTCATTTTCCATGTCATAGCTGCCATTTTTTTATGTTTGCTACT